CCCCCCCCACCCCTTTTCCGGGAATTACCCCTTACCCCCAGCGGTGCCCGGAAACCAGCCCCCACTCCTTCCGCCAATCCCCTACACCCACGGTACCCGAACCCACCCCCACCCCTTCGGTACCCGAACCCATCCCCTACCCCCACGGTACCCGAACCCAGATGATCGGGAAGTCGATGAGCGACAAGCTCCTCGGCGGGCGCACGCTCCACTTTTACCAGTGGCAGGGCGACGTCAAGGCGGACCTACTGCCGCGGCTGCGCGGCCGCATTGACGCAATGGCGGCGGCGCGCAGCCCTAGAAGCGGAGTATCTCCCCACATCTCCCCCACATCTCCCCTTTCTCGGCTTGACGCGATGGCGGCGGCGCGGGAGCCTAGAAGAGTATCTCCCCATATCTCCCCATATCCCCCCATATCTCGTGCCTAGAAGCGGAATATCTCCCCATATCTCCCCATATCTTGTGCCCAGAAGCGGAATATCTCCCCATATCTCCCCATATCTCCCCATGTCTCCCCATATCTCCCCATATCTCGTGCCTAGAAGCAGAATACGGATTCTTGTCTCCCAACCAGCGCCCGAGAGGCCCACGTGTTCCGCTGTACTCTCCCGTCTTCCGCTGTATTCACTGTCCTCCTCTCCGTTGTACTCACGCGGTGCTCTGAACACACTGCACAATACCCGTCCTCCCGCCCTCATCACGTTGGAGTCTCCACACCGCTCACACAACGCGCACCGGGCCTTGCACTTTGAATGCCGTGCCAGCTCCTGTCGTCTAGTCGTGGAGTCGCGAGCGACGAGCCCGGCCCTTGCCCCACCCACCTCGTGTGTGTGTGTGTGTGTGTGTGTGTCTGGAGAAGTGTCCCTGACCTGCCCTCTTCACAGCGGTAGGCGTGGGATCGCGAGCAGAAGGACGCCTGCCTGGCCGAGACGGCGGCTTCCTTCAAAGGGGGCGGCTCGCTCCTCTCGCACATTCGCGGTCCTCGCTGAGTCTCAGGGCTGAGGCTCGGCGGCGGCGGTGAGGAGGGCTGAGAGGCCGGCGGCGGTGGGGGTGCCAGGCGAGGGACGCCGAGGCGGGCAAGGAGGGGGGGGGGGGGGGCATGAGCTGCGGTTTGGGGCCCTCCATGGGAGGAGAGGGGGTAGGAGAGCGTACCGAGGGAGTAAGCTGGGCGCGTGGTGGCGGAGATGCTCCGTGGAAAACTGGGGAATTCACGTGCGAAAAAAGCGGCCCAGCTCGTCGGCTCACGCGTCTTTCCTCCACCGCCGCCCTCAGCCACGCCGCTACGACCGTCGGAGGCGTCAACTCCGCCGTCACATCACGGCGGCTGACCTAGCTCCTACGGCTACGGGGTGTGGAGGGTGAGTTGACCAGGGGTTGTGCGCCGGGCCCTCCTGCTCGGCTCCAGCCGGTAGACAAGTCTTGTCATCAACAGAGTAGATGGATCTGACCTCGGGGCCGATGTGACCTGCGCCTACCCTCACCTCGGGTAGACCGTTCACACCTCGCCCCGCGTAATATCCTGATTAGTTAATTGTTCCCGCGTGTTCGTTCGTCTCTTCGTATCTTGTTGCCAATAACATGGAGCAAGACGTAGACATCGCGCACTCGCAGCCCACCGCGCCACCGCGCCGCCGGGCGCCGCCCTCGGTCTCCGAGGGAGCTCAGCTACACCGTCTGGTCATGCGCATGGTAGCGGCCTACGGTCCGATCCGGCCTCCTTTGTATTGAGTCGCCTCATCAGCGCAGTGCGCTCAACCACAGCTTTCTGCGCAGTATATGAGATGGTGCTCTCAGCACTAACCCGCTTCAACAGCCCGTCACACGTCGCTGCTCGAATTCGCGCGAGTGGCTCCCAGTTCGAGTTTGCCCCTTCGCGGAGCGAACGCGAGCAGCGATGCTATGCGATGCGATGCGATGCGATGCGATTCGATTTGATGCAGCATGCAACAATGCACTGAATCTTTTGCCACAAGAACCCCAACGCGCCATCCATCACCCGTCAACGCGCTGGACTTGGCACCAACCGCCAACAGCGTGGCCTTGGCACCTTCCTCCTACCAACTCTCGAGCCCAACCCGACATGGATTTTGCCTGAACGGCAACACAAACCAGCCCCTAACCCCAGCCCCTAACCCCAGCCCCTAACCACCCCTAACCCGAGCCCCTAACCCCAGCGAACCCTACCCCCCGCGAACGGCTCGTGAACCTCGCCGAACCCTACCCCCCGCGAACGGCTCGTGAACCTCGCCGAACCCTACCCCCCGCGAACGGCTCGTGGTCAACTCGCCGAACCCTTCTCACATGGCAATGGCGGCTCTGCGAGCTCGCGACTCGCCCGCCGCCATTGGGGGGGGTGCGCCTACCCTCACCTCGGGTAGACCGTTCACACCTCGCCCCGCGTAATATCCTGATTAGTTAATTGTTCCCGCGTGTTCGTTCGTCTCTTCGTATCTTGTTGCCAATAACATGGAGCAAGACGTAGACATCGCGCACTCGCAGCCCACCGCGCCACCGCGCCGCCGGGCGCCGCCCTCGGTCTCCGAGGGAGCTCAGCTACACCGTCTGGTCATGCGCATGACCAAGCGCTGGTAGCGTGGTTTTACCTCACACCCATGGTCTCACAGTGTGCCGGCAGTCGCCGAGCAGTGTCGCTCACACAAGCCGCAGCACAAGTGACTGAGGGCCAGTGAGGGCGAGCCCATCGCTGTCACAGCTGTGGCAGCCGCACAGTAGGCTGTGTCAACTGTGCAGAGTGTGTGAGCAGCAGAGGAGCTGCTCTCCAGGCTTCTATCGCAAAGAGCTGCATGCCACCGAAAGCGCTGTCGAGGTTCGCCGAGCGCGGCGCAGGTTGGGGGACACCGTCACCGACGAGCGCGTTGGAGTATTCACTCCGGACAAAGACGGGGACACAGCGGATGGTGCGGGGTGTGTCCCCGTCATAGCGGCGAGGCGCGGGACCGTCTGTGGCGAAGTGGGTCGCGTCCTCCGATTTTGTTCCACCCAGCATCCACACCCTCTAGGTAAGTCAGCTCAAACGAGCTCCCTCCAGCTCCCAATAAAGCCGTAGCTACTGTGTACCGGCCCAGGGGGGGGGCACCTTCAGCAGCGCGGTGCACCTCGATCCTGTACCGTGTTGTTATGACCGAAGGAAATCCCCCCCCCCCCCCCCCCCCCGAATGAACGCACCAGCTCCGGGAGGCCGAAACGATCGCCCAGGGCCGAGGCAGGGGGTCCCGTGCGCACACCACACACACGCGGGGTGGGTACCCTTTCATAGCGAGCGATCCGGAGAATCCACACCGTAAACCCGCATCCCAGTGTGCAACAGTGCAACAACATGTGAGGGCACCTCAAAGTTAAAACCATGACACTTAACTGATTTGATTTGGTGTTGCTGTGCGTCGGTATTGGCTAAAAATCTCTCTCTTCTCTCTAACTAAACCATCTCGGTGCTGTTGTCGCTGATCGTACTGAGTCGCCGCTCCTTGGGGCTAGCCTCCCGCGAGGGGCTAGCCTCCCGGGAGCGTTCAGAAGAAAACTGGGAACAGCGCGATGGCCTCGCGGCGCCGCTGTGGCCTTCACCGAACGCGCCCCGCTGGCGCAGTCGCTGCCCCGCCGCGTGCCCCGCCGCGGCGTCGGCCCCCCGCTCGGCTTCTCGGAGGTGCCTATCGCCTCATCTTGATTCATCTCAGTTTATCTTGGTTCATCTCGTTAGCAGCTTCTCGGAAGTGGTTGCGCCCGCGCACGAGGGGTGCGAGGTCAGCCGAGCAATCGAGGAGGTCCAGCGGCGGCGGCCGCCGCCGCCGCCGCTTAAGGAGGGACTGCTGCTATCGCCGTCATCGCTCGCGCTGAGCAGATCTCGCACCTGTGGACGTGCGGTTGCCTTTTTGTCGAGGGCTTCTCTCCCACAACGACGAGACTTGTCCGTGTCGCCATAGGCCGCCTGCGCTTCTGCGCGCGCCCGCTCCGCCCGCTCCGCCGCCATCTCGCCGTACTCGCCGCGCGCAGCGTCCGCCCGCTTCGACCCTTCGCGCATGTACGCACCACCGAGAGAGGCGTAGCGCTCGGTTGCCACTCGAACCTCCTCCTCCTCGGCAAGCTGCTGCTGCTGCCGCAGGCTCGCCGCCACCTTGAAATGGTGCCGGTCTGTGCCCGTGCGATAACTGCTCTCGGCGATCAGTCCTTCGATGTGCCCCTCGTCCCCTTCCTTGCCGTCCTCGTCGTCGCCGAGGTGATCCGACAGTCCTCGGGGTCGTCATCATCAGCCGCCTGGCGTAGTACGAACCTCGACATTCCGCGCAAGTTCCTGGATGCACGGAGGTCGCAGCGACCTGCTGACGAGGCGATGCTCGCAAGAACGGACGGTCGCGCCAAGCGGTGCTCGCGTAGCTCTGACGACGCGCTGAGCAACGAACGCTGAGCAACGAACGGCCAACTTTGGAGGACGGACGAAACTTCCTTGAGGTGGCGATTGTGTGAAGACTGTGCGTCGTCAGGACTCCGCCAGGACTCTGTCAGGACTCTGTCAGGACTCGGTCAGGAATCTGTCAGGACTGTCAGGACAGGTGCGGGAGGTCCACAAACCAGGTGACTCCAAGTGCTCCAAGTGCACCTCATCATCCGGCCCGCTCCACCACCACACACCACCGCACCCACCACGCCACCACCGCACACACCACCCCACCCCACTCAAAGAGCAGATCACATCAGAGACCCCGGGGCCCGCGGCGCGGGAGGGGGCTGCTGTGTGCGTGTGTGTGCTAACCGGGGGACGCGGCTCCGCTCTCTTCGCCACATCTCGCCGCATCTCGCCGCATCTCGCCACATCTCGCCACACCTCGCCACACTCGCCACACCTCGCCATACCTCGCCATACCTCGCCTGATCTCCCCATCTCGTCCCTCGCCATACCTCGCCACACATCTCGCCGACACCCCGCGCGCGCGTCCCTCGCCCGCGATGAGTTCGCCCGACGCCCCAAGCCGCGACCCCCCAGCCCTCGCCCCCCCTGGGCTCCAAGTGCGGAGCTGCCTGTGTGGACGCGCGCGCGCTCGTGTCCGCTGGGGCTGCGTGCAGGCAGGGCAGGGATTCGGCTTCCGGCGTGGCCGCGTGACGTGTGTGGGTGGAGCGACAGGCGCTGCGCAAGGATCCGGAGAAGGGCAAGCTCTTTGTCACAATGAAGGCGCCGCGAGGGCTCCCCTCCCCTCCCCTCAGGGCCGCAACGCGAGCGTGTACATCCTGCCAGGCGCCCGCCTCGCCTTCAGCATCGATGCTTGCAGCGGCAAGATCCACGTCTCGGTCCGCAGCAGCGGGGAGGGCGCGAGGGCGCGACCCTCGACGGCGGGAATAGCTCCAAGATGTTCTACGTCACGGGAGGCTGCAGCCCCCTCTACCTGGGGGTTCTGCACTTTGTGGACGGGCGAGGTGATTTCAAGCCGCACCTCATGTCACGTCTCGATGGAGGGTGTCAGCTTCAGCTAGTGCGCGGCTGGCGATGTGCGGAACCCTCCACCGAGGGCCATTCTGCTAGCTCCGCACCTCGCCCGCTGACGCCCAGCTTGCGCTGCCCGTCCTCGTCCAGGGTGGCGGCGCTGTGATCGTGGAGGCCAGCGGCGACGTCTCGATGAAAGGTGTCAGCTTCAGCGAGTGTACGGCTGGCGCGGTGCGTCTTACGCCCTCTCCCTCCCACACACTGCTCGGCGCGATGCTTCACCGTGCAGAAAATTGGACGCCCTCCCCGAGAGCCACTCTGCTTGCCCGGGCGGGACACTGACGCCCTGCTAGCGCTGCCCGCCTCGTTCAGGGTGGCGCTGTGTACGTGAGCGGCAGCGGCGATGTCTCGATAGACAGTGCAAGCTACAGCGAGTGCACGGCTGACTATGTGCGCCGCCACCCTCCCCCCCCCCCCCCGTGCCGCGGCCTCTCTCTTCGGAGCTCGAGGAGAACCTCTCCCAGTAGGGCCACAAGCGGCGGCACTCGATGCATCGCA